GGGGGGGGGGGGGGGGGTTGCAGCCTCAGGTCCCCCAGCCCAGCTCTGGGGCAGGGGGAACAGCATGAGGTCCCCCGTCAAGCCATGCTGGGCATGAGGCTTGGCCTGAGGTCCCCTGTCAAGCCCCGCTGGGTGGGGGGTGATGCCTTAGGTCCCACAGCCTGGTGCCGGGGTGTGGGGCATGACCTCAGGTCCACTGGCTTGGTGCTGGGGCAGGGGACATGGCTTGAGGTACCCTTCCCTGGCCCAGCGCCATGCAGCTTCAGGTCCATGCTGATTGCTCATTAAGGCTCATTATGGCAACTTGGCCTCCGCTGTGGGTGCAGGCAGCTTGTTACAAAGTGATGGTCAATTTGCATATTTCCTCTTTATTAGATAGGATGATGGTGCCTTGTCACCTCAGGTTCAGTCTCCTCTCAGGAGGCACGTTCCTAGAGGTCAGGGACCATATGCCTTCTTTTCCTACTACACTCTGTGCCCCCTGTGTGCTCAAGAAATGCCATGGTAAGTGCTGACTCTTAAATAAGCATCATGGATTTCATAGATCAAAATACTGGTGGGCTAAACTATTTTAAAACATAAGACTTCATGTCATATGTTCCATATCAGTGAACTGAGCATTTTATAAGTGAACAGATGTCAACTAAATATCAAAATTTATAACTTTAACATTACTTTAAATATAATTTATTCTTCCTTCACTAATGAATGGATCATGCTTGGCCGCAGAAGTTCTCTGAGGTAGCTGTTTAAGCTGTGTTACTATATTGCTATGCCATTAGAATTTTTCATTTCTGGATTTCTTGGTAGATTTTTTTCTTCCTAGAAGAGTATCATTTCTACTTTAGCCATTCCCCTTCCTTTTAATTATCTGTGGGCTTGAAAATCTAACAGATCTGATAGAATTAGCATGTGAAATAATGTGGTGGAGACACAGCAAGTAAAGTCCTGAAGGGCTAAAAGCATGCAGAGGTCCCTCCTATAAGATTAAGAATCTAAGAAAGGAGCTGCATCTATGCTGATCGCTGAGAAACCTTTGTTTTCTTATGCCTTGGATCGGTCTCATGTCAGATTGATGTTAATCTTTAAAATATAGATATTTGTACTTCTATCAAATAACAAAATATATGTGACTCTTTTTAAGTTAAATGTATGGGGTAACATTGGTTAATAGTATTTGTAAAATTTAGGTTTCACAACCTAAAATTTGTAATAGGACATCTGTATACTGAGCTGTGAAGTGTAGTCTCCTTCCCTCACCTCCCTTTATTCTCTTCCCCACCACCCCTTCCTTCTGGTAACCACCATTGGTGAGTTGTTCTGTTCCCTTGCTTTTTTCATTTCTTGCTTTTTGGTTTATATCCCACATGAGTGAAACCACGGCTTTTGTCCTTTTCTGGCTGACTTCCTCAGCAGAATCCTCTCAAGTTGCAAATGGCAATATTTTAATCATTTTATAGCTGAGTAGTATTCCATAGTATACTACAGGCCCGATGCACGAAATTCATGCAAGGGTAGGCCTTCCATCCCCTGTCTGCTGGCACCTGAGATTCCTTCCAGGCGCTGGCATCCAGTACCTGGGCTTCCCTCTGGCTGCTGGCAGCTGGCCACCTCCCTTGGGCTGGCACTGCCTGTGTCCGCTGCCACCCTCCCTTCCCCCTTGATTGCCCCGATGGCCGGTGGCCTGGGACTCCCTTTGTGGGTTGATTGTGGGGCAATGGCATGCCCCACCCCTGACCAATTGCATTGCACCACCTTGGCTGGCCGGGCGCCAGTGCATGTCATAGCATGGTTGTCTGATGGTTGGTCTGCTGTTCAGCAGTTCGGTTGATTTGCATATTATCCTTTAATTATTATAGACCAGAGGCCCAATGCACATAATCATGTAAGAGGCTTGGCCCTCGCAGCCCTGGCTGCCATGGCCCTTGCAGCCTTGGCTTTGTCCAGAAGGTCGTCCATTCAATCATTCTGCTGTTCAGTCTAATTAGCATATTTGCTCTTTGTTATATAGGATATGTACCACTTCTTCTTTATCCAATCACCCATTGAAGGACACTTAGGTTGTTTCCATGTCTTAGCTATTGTGAATAATGCTGCAATGAACATCGCCTCCCATATATCTAGATAAGTGTTTTCAAATTTTGGGGGTAGATACCCTGAAGAAGGATTGCTGGTCCATATGTAAGCTCTATCGTTAAATTTTAATGAACTTCCATACTGTTTCTATAATGGCCGCACCAATTTACATTCCCACCAGCAGTGTATGAGGATTCCCTTTTCTCTATATTCTCTTCAACAGTTGTTATTTCATGTCTTATTGATAATAGACATTCTAACTGTTATGAGGTGGTACCTCATTGGGTGTTGATTTGCATTTCCCTTATAACTACTGATGTAGAGCATCTTTTTAGCCATCTGTATGTCTTCCTTGGATAATTATCTATTCAGGTCCTCTGCCCATTTTCTAATCAGATTTTGTTGCTGTTGTTGAACTGTATGAATTCCTTATGAATTTTGGAAATTAGCCCCTTATCAGAGGCATCTTTTACAAATATTTCTTCATTTTATGTTGTTTTGGTTAATCATTACTTGAGAATACTTTTTCCATTGATTTTTAGAATGAGAGGAAGGGATGGAGCCAGGGGAAAAGAAAGGGAGAGAAAAACATGAATCTGAGAGAGACACAATTGGTTGTCTCCTACATGTTCTACGACCAGGGCTGGGGATCCAATCTGCAACCCAAATACATGCCCTTGACCAGGAATCAAACCAATGACAATTCAGCATGTGGGCTCTTGGATGGCGGTGGCAGTAAAGTCGCTTTTTCTGCATCTATTGAAATAACCATATGATTCTCACCATAGGTTTTACTGATGTGATGAATCACATGCATTGTTTTGCAGATGTTGAATCATCCTTGCATCCCTGATATAAACCCCACTTGATCATGGTATGTTATCTTTTTAGTGTATGCTGACTTTCATTTGCTGAAATTTTGTTGAGAATTTTGGTGTCTATGTTCATCAGGGATATTGGCCTCTAATTCTCTTTTTGGTAGTGCCTCTGTCAGGTTTTGGTTATCAGACTAAAGCTGGCCTCATAGCATAAGTTTGGAAGTGTCCTGTCTTTTCAATGTTTAGAAATAGTTTCAGAAGAATAGGTACTAATTACTTAAATATTTGGCCAAATTCACCTTTGAGGCTGTCTGCCCTAGTGCTTCAGTTTCTTGTTACTTTTTTGTTTTTTATTTTTTTATTTTATGCTTCAATATAGTTGCTAGAATTGGTTTATGCAAATTCTTAGTTTCTTCCTGGTTTAGTCATGGAAGCATGTATGTTTCTAAAAATTCATCAATTTTTCTAGATTATCCTATTTGTAGGCATATTATTGTTCATAGTATTCTTTAGTGATCCTTTCTATTTCTGTGTTGTCTACCACAATGTCTCCTCTTTCAATTCTGATTTTATTTTGTGTCCTCTCTCTTTTCACACATTGTATGCAGGAAACGTATTTATACGTTTTGTCCTTCTTTTCAAAATATTTTAAATAAATCGGAATTTTTACATATTTTATTACTTTTATTTCAATTTCCAGTGAGTTTTCCAGTTTTTGTCTGTTTAAAATTTAAGAAAAATAATTCAGTATACATTTTATAGTAAATCACAAAAAGTTTCATTGAAAAAAATATGTAAAACTAAAGTTATTGTAATTTTAGCAAAAATGGCCCGCGCCACCTGTTAGCGCACGATAAAAACTACCCGCAAAGAATGTGTTCACATTATGATTCTTGGTAAAGATCTGTCAATGTCATTTATCCTTTCAAAGGACCACCTCTTAGTTTCACTGATCTTTTCTGTTTTACTATTTTCTGTTTCATTTATTTTCACTCTGATCTTTATTATTTCCTTCCA